AAAATTAAAATTAAATATTTAAATTTCTATAATATAAAATAACTAATCTTCTTACGTAGTAATAAAAAACACAGAGGAAATTAAACAACAATAATATCGGCTGTTGGCACACGGTATTCATCATCACCATCCTGGGCCGTCTGCACCTGTTATCCATTATCGGCCAGCTGGTAGAAGAGAGAAAGAACGGAAAGATCGAAGAAAAATCGCGAGAGAAGGTGCTAAGAAATAGATGGAGGACCAAATTGAGAAAAATTGAACCTCGACTACTTAAGTGGAAAAGTTTTGTAAATTCAGGGGCTAGATTAAACCCTACCACAAAACCCCTAGAGCCAAAATTCTCACCAATTCTCCATCCAGCAGGCACGATTCGACTCCAAGCTCCGTTGCATTCCAGAGTGTGCCCAGCAGCGCCACTCAGACTCCGAATACTCTTTTCAGGTCCAATTTCTGTACCCCAGAGAACTGTTTTGCTCGTCAAGATGATTTCGTTTGCAAGTGGGATTGTGAGAAACCGATTGATTATGGTGTTCATAGTTCTTCATAAAATTGGCCTCTAGATTTGTTAAAGATTGACACTCTGGCTTTTATTTTCGTTTTCTATTAAAATTTGTTACATGGGTCCTTCTTTTTGGGTAAATATTATCTGGGTATTTTTGGTTCAACCTTAAATGAGGAAGCTTTTTTGGCAAATAGTATTTAGATCTGGATGTAGTTTGGATTAGTTTCTGGGGAGTTAATCAGAAATGTGGGTTTGATGACTTTTGTTCTTTCTGTTAATCTTTGTGGTTCATATGGTTCATATACGTGATAAATCATCGATACTACTTGTGGAAATTTTTGTTTCAGATATGTCATTACAGTTTAGATGAACATTGTTAAAGGGAATTTCAACTTAGCCTAACTGAGATCAACAGTTACATCTTTCTTTGGGGAATTTCAACTTAGGGGAACTTTAGTATACGTTCCCAAAATTTTATTTCTTCAATTTCATTTTGCATTGGCTTCCCATTGTTATCCTGTGCGTGTGCTCATGACTAGTATTGAGGAGAAGTTATTGGTAAACCATGTTCAGTTGAGTTGGTTAATTCCTGGTTGGTTAAAAAGTCAACTTCCATCAGGAAAAATATGAAAGAAAATAACATAAAATAACCAAGTATGAGGGATGGAGAGAAAATTGTTCCTAACTCGAGGCTGGTGGTAGGTTGGTTGCCGAAGCAGAGTCAGATAGGGGTTGTAACTACATGCTCCTGTACCATTTCCTACTTGAAAGCAGATGACAAAAGAGTCATTTTGGTTTGATAGGACAAACCCAAAACTCTAGCAAATCAGAATACAATATTTTTAATGTGACACACTCTTAAATCCGTTTCATTGGCTCACTCTATTTGATTTTTGACAGGCTCATAAGAAATTAAAGGTGAGCTCAGAAAATGGTGGTTAGAATCCGACTGTCAAGATTTGGATGCAAAAACAAGCCATTTTATCGCGTCATGGCTGCTGATAGCAGATCACCCAGGGATGGCAAGCATCTTGAAGTCCTAGGTTACTACAATCCCTTGCCAGGTCTTCCCTTAATCCATGTCTCTCTCTATTCACAGAGTTCACTGTCTTTAATGTCTTTTGCTTTTGCAGGAAGCCAATATTTGCATTTTATTTTATTTCCCTGTCTTCATCTTCAAGAGTTTCATTTGGTTCTTCACTTTACATTCTATTATGTGCACTGTTTCTGTTAGCTATTGAGTTTGGAAAGGAAAAAAATAAAAATTCAAAAGATTTTTTAATGTAAAACTGAAACTCTTCTGTCATCTGAAGGTCACATGACACCTTTAGAGTTGGTTGGATGTTCTTTGTAATTTTTTGCTGATCAAATGAAATGATCTTAAGGTTCAAAATAGTACCTTTTTTGTGAGAGAGGTTAGTGCTCGAGCTTCTTCTTCTTCTTCTTCTTTTTGTGCTTTCATGAACTTACAAGTTTTAATCTCTAAACACACGTATGCATGGTGCGTAGAAGCAATAAAATGGCTGTGGCATTAATCACCTTTCTGTTTCCCTTCCTTTTAGTTTCAGTGACCACAGAAAAGTGGGAGTAACTATATTGTCGATATTTCTAAAAAGTATGGAAGAATTGATATTAGCATTTTGAATCTTAATTTTGATGTTATTTTAGTAATTGCACTCTGTTTGTGAGGAAATACCTAATTAGGTGAATCATGAGTTGCTTATTTTTTCCCCTTTTTTTTACAGGTCAGGATGGGGGTAAAAGAATGGGTCTTAATTTTGAAAGAGTGAAGTAAGCCATTACTTCGTCTTTCTATGATACTCTTTTCTGTGCCCATAAACTGTAAATTACATTTTTGTATTTGGAGAATTTAATTTGATTGTTCATTGAGACTTGACAATTTTTTGTTTTGTTATGTTAAGCAGATATTTCTTTCTTTCTTTCTTTTTGTTTTTTGGTCTGGACTTTGCAGTGCTATCTTGTGGTGTTTGTTACATATTTAACTCCTTTCTTTCTTTTTTTTTTTTTTCTTGGTGGGAAGTCTATTCTGTCGCTCCCTGGTAACCTGTTAGTTAAAATTTGAAGGAATGGAGCTTGATAAGAATGGATGGCGAGTTAGTGGCTTCCTTTAGTTGGTGGTATTATTAGGTTTTAACTTTTTGGGAAACATTGTGTGATGTAGAATGAATCATAGGACAAATTAGTAAATAAATTATTAATATTCCAAAGTCAATTTTAGAAATAAGATAACATAATTTTTCATACTAACTTTAGCTGTGTCCTAAAGATGTAACTACTGTCAGTTTTGCTTTCAGAACTGGATTCAGGAGGAGACAAAATACTCTTTTACATAGGACCATAGGAGAGGTGGGAAAGAAAAGAGGAGACTTGGTGGAAGAACTAATACCTTTTTTTATGCAAAACTCTTGATTCCTCAAGGGAATGAGTTAATGGAGCTCATGCTGAGGGACAAATCTAGGTCCATTGGTGATGCTGGACAGGTTGCACATAACCTTCCTGTGTGGAATAAGTTGATAAGTTATCCATTATAGTAGGTGCCAATGCTGAGATTAGTTTGGCTCCCCTAACTAATATCTATTTGTTTTGCTTCACATTAGTTCATTTGCACACACACATTTTGTCTGAGTTCCCTGAATCATGATTTCCAACTTTGATTTCTGCCAATCAGCAAGTGGAGCTGGTTTAATTTTAAGTTCTGAGCAGAATTTTTATTTCTTGAAATTTGAATTGATAATGCATGTAACTTTATTGAATTAATCTGTGTAAGTTAATGGAAGCTATTACCAGATTCTGTCCTACATACTGGAAGATGTTGGAATTGTGAATGTTATATACTGGTTAAACCACCAACTACAAATTGACTTTAAAGCTAGGTCAAATTCTATAAGAGTTACTAGGTTAGCAGTGCTTCAGCACATATCTCGGATATTTGATGAACAATGAGTAAATTATTATAATTAGCCTGCTTTGTATAATTATGGAAGAGAGGTTTGTTTTCTAAATTAACAGCAGAATGGTCGCTAGTAATAGTTTATTTACTTTCCTTGCTTCCTGCAGGTATTGGTTATCAGTTGGTGCTCAGCCTTCAGAGCCAGTTCAACACCTTCTCTTCAGATCTGGATTACTGCCCCCACCACCAATGGTGGCAATGGGACACAAAGGTGGCCCCCGCGACACACGTCCAGTTGATCCCATGACAGGGCGTCTCTTGGATGTAAAGAAGCCTGCCATTGCCAACCCAGACAAGGATAATGAAGATGATGATGGTGCAGATGGAGCAGCTGCTCAATGAAACTGCTCATCTATCATCTGAAACTTCCATTTTTCTGCTGTTTCAAGGTTATACAGGGGCTGGGAACAGGAATTGCTGTTGTCTGTTCTTGTTATCAGAAGAATCATTGAAAATAACTCCTGTCTTCCAACAGAAAATAGCAACCTTAGTAGGGAACTTATGAACACCATGAGTTGTCGTCATATGCAAATTATTTCTTTTGTTATAAATATCTTTTCATTTTCTTGATGAGTTTCAACGAAAGTTAGAACCCCTACTTCAGGATTGAAGTGCCAAGGGTGACTTCTCTGCTGAGAGAATTAAAGTGATTGTGTTTTTGTTGTTTAGTCAGTTTGATTGTTGATACCAGTTTCAACTCGGAACTGAAAGTAGAAAATGCCATATTTCTAAACCGATCTTGGCAACGTTTGGGTGCAATCACAAACAAAATACATGTAAAGGCAATGATTTTCCACTAGTAATCTACTTTCTTTTTTTTTTTAAAAAAAAGGACAAGAATTTCTTTTCTTCTTCTTCTTTTTTTGTTTCCGCCTGGTATCTGGGGTTTCACCTCGATTAATCCGGATCTGACCTGTGTCGCGCACCTGAAAATGGTGGGTGAGTTTCCCAGCGGGAGTTGCTACGTTCACAAGGTCTCGAACTCAAGTCATTACTTAAGCTGGAATAAGTCACTTACCACTTGATCCAACCTCTCGTTGGTGACAAGAATTTCTTTGACCAACCAAATTAATGAATCAGGATTCAGAACCCCAAACTTCTCAACTCCAATAAAACATTTAGGACAATTTTATAGATATTTTTGGGGTAGTGGGGGACCATGGCATCCAGATGCATACATAACAAGGACTTATTTATTGACGTACATGTAAAAGCCTAGATTGGTTGTAGAAAAAAAGAAAAGGACCTAACGGCCTCATGAAATAAATGACTAAATTTTAGTGGTTGTTACAAATATAGTCTTAATTAGAAGATTGAGATATTTTGTTAAATGGCACGGGGTCAAATATTTATATATAAGAATATGAAAATGATATATTTATAATGTTGTATAATATTATAATTTTGTAATCATGATATAATAATATATGACTAACTCTTTTTTTTTTAGGACTCAAATATTATATATATATATATTTATTTAATAATAATATACTAATACATGATTAATTCTTTTTTTTAGAATTCATATATTATATATATTTACTTATTTAATAATATATCAATATATAAATTTATATTTTACATGATATTATAATTATATCATTATTGAATAATAATGATATAAGATTAATATTGTTAATTATTAAAATTAAACATTGGACCTAATGTTTCACTTTTTTAGGCTAGGTTTCACGCCCCTCCAACCCAATGTTCTACTTTTAAAACTTTTGCTTTATATACCACGACATGTCAAGATTATGTAAGGAACCAATAACATATTGATTCAAGTAGAAAGAGTTCGGTTTCTCTTAAATAAGGTTTCGAATTTAAATCTTGTGAATGAAGAAATAAGCGTTGAGAGAATTTCTTCTTTAATAGGTTCGACATGATTCGATTCTGAATTAATCAGATTTAATGTGATTATCAGATACCGAGAAGTTAATATAAAAAAAAAATTTTACAAACAGAAAGACAAAGTTTTCTTATCTAAAACCTATGAATCATTAAGGAAATGAATAGCAAACATATTGACAAGAGAAGAAATATGGTACGTAACTGCTCGTGACAGCTTCACGCTGAACATGAATAACAAACAAGTTGCTGGAAGTGCACATCAGTAACACATGGTGCACCTGAACTTGAGGATCAATGGCAACAACTTCCTATAATTAGGCCAATGGACAATTGGGCAGTATGCAGAGACTCTTGTATTCTAGCTCCGCAAACAACTTAGAGCTGACAGCTTTGCACAGGTTCACTCGATGTGTATGTTTACATTTTTCTTTTATCAACTTACTAGAACTCCTTCATGTGACTCATTGATTGGATTGCGCTCTTTCGTGAAAAGCAGGTAGAGATCACCCATTTGAGTCTTTTTGAATATTAAAAATAAATACTAACACTAATCTAATTATTTTTTATTGTCAAAAAAAAAAACTTACTAAAAAAAATATGCGAAATTTTCAAATTGCCCCTTATATATTATTTTTTTATAATCAACACTCTCAATAATTTGTATTCTTAATCAACACTTATCAAATTTTTTATTTATACTCTGATTTAGTTGATAATTTAAGGTTTTTTTTATGAATTTTAAATTAAAAAAATTAATTGAAAGTGAAAATTATAGAAGACATTAATAATAAAAAATAACATATATAATGCAAATAGAGAGTTTGACTAAAAAAAAAAATACTATTAAACAAGTACAAGCGCTCCCTCCAGACAAAAATAAAATTCAGGAATACATACTCTTAGTATTGTTACACAAAAGTGGGAGAGTGTCTAAAACCAGACTCTGATCATTTCTCCCTTTGAACCATTGGAAAGCCCTCATCTGTACCTGTACGTACGTTAATTTACATGTTCACACCAAAAGATGACAACCATAACAGTTGAACCATAAAAAGCCATTTCGCCTTCATTAATTCTTTTTTCCAGTAGCATCATCTTCTACATTTTCCTTCTGATCTTTCACCTCACATATATATTTTTTTTTAAAAAAAAAGGGAAGAAAACTTGAACTCGAATTGCGTCTGCTAGAGACATCTCTAACGTGCCTCTAATATTCTTTGTTTGACCTATAGAATCATCTGACATACCGGAATGACATCAAAGAATTCCACACTTTAACTGGTCTTTACAAAGTCATCCACAAAAATTAAACTATTATTATTATTATTATTATTATTATTATTATTATTATTATCTCTAATATTCTTTGTTTGACCTATAGAATCATCTGATATACCGGAATGACATCAAAGAATTCCACACTTTAACTGGTCTTTACAAAGTCATCCACAAAAATTAAACTATTATTATTATTATTATTATTTTATAGAATATATGGTAAAATTTTAAGAAATGGGCCAATTACATATTTTATAGTTATTAATAAAGTAAAAATCCATTAATAATTATAAAATATATAGTTTATACAAAATAAATTACATATCACTTTTTTGAAATTTTAGTCTCTTTAATATTTGATTTCAATTGCACTAACAACTTATGGTGAGTTGGTAATGTACATCAAATATCTTAATCTATAATAAGGTTCAACTTCAACATCTGTAATATTTTTCCCTTCTTCTAAAATTTCCCCAGTTCAAAAAAAAAAAAAAAATATTTGATTTCAATTAAATTTCTACATTTTCAACTCAAAAGAAGCAACTGCAATTTAAAAAAAAAATACTACAAATAGATAAATAAAGGAATTATTGAAGGTTAAGATTTTTTTTTAATAGCAGTAAAATGGTACGAGATAAGATACATCAAAGTTATTTTTTAAAATAATAGTGAAATAATACAGAGACATGACACATTATAACTCTAAAATTTATTATTATTATTATTATTATTGTGATAATGATTACATAATTGGAGACTATCATCTCTCATATTTTATTTTATCTCGCATGCATGTCATGCAACTTCTTATTTTTAACGAAAAGAGATAATTACTGAATTATTTAAATTATTGATACAACTCTCAAACTTATTAATTTAAAGTTACACAAAATCTTATATACATTACTTAACTTATATACACAAAGATGATATGAGACAAAACCCCACAATCTAGAGAGGAAAAAGATTAAGATATTTTAATATTTAAAATGTTATGATTTTTTATAAAATTATTTAAATATTTTTAATAAACTAAAAATCTAACATTATAATTACCAAATCTTAATTTTTATTATTTTCGTAAATAGAAACTCGATGGCAACAGCTTACTGCATTTTGTATATATTTATTTTTTTTTTTAACATTAGGGAATTTGGAGGATGAAGGATATATTTTTAAAATATTGATGGAAGTCAAACTATGATCAACTAAACTCCAAACATTTAAAATTTAAAATCGAATTATTAAATCAAATGAACTTCACCGAGTGGTTTGATGACTGCGGGTTTCATTGAAGTTGGTTAACTGTTTATTAAATTTAGGAATTGAATCTTTAATTATTAACATCTAACAATACTAATGTACTAACTATTATCCTTATAAAAAAAAAAATCATTAAACCAAAAGTTTCAATTTGTTTACTGCATTTTATATTATTTAATGGTATTGCTTTAGAATCTTATCCTCTAATTAGTTGGAAATATTGAATGCTGACTCATCATATTCTTTTATGATCAAATTGACACCCTGACCTGGGTGGGAACTTATCACT